TTCAATTCCTATAGGAATTCCTATAGGAAATTTCAATGCCTATAGGAATTCCTATAGGAAATTTCAATTCCTATAGGAATTCCTATAGGAATTTTTTTGACCATTTTCAATTCCTATAGGAATTCCTATAGGAATTTTCAATTCATATAGGAATTCCTATAGGAATTTTCAATTCCTATAGGAATTCCTATAGGAATTTTGATTTCCTATAGGAATTCCTATAGGAAATTTTCGTAAGGGTGGTGCATTTTGAAACAGAATTTTATGTCTGGGGACTGCACTTTTCCTGCCTCGACAAGCGACAAAGAGTCCTAGAAAACCTCAATAATGTTTGAGCATTCAGCTCGAAATACTGATGATAGCAAACAGCAAACCATGAATTTTTAAACTTTTTCTTACCTCATCAAGGTTTTTTTCAAAGTTGTAATAGTCTTCTCATCATTCGCGTTTAAGTCTATCGGTACTTGATTTTGTAGATCATACTGTATTTTTCCTTGAATTCCAGCTTTCAAGTATATTTTTGCTTCGATTTTCTGCGTTAGTTATTCATTAACATATCTCGGATGTCAAAGGTGTCAAACTTCAATCTTAATGTGTTGCAAGTATCTGTATTCTCTGTTTTAGAATCCTGTCTTTGTAGCTTTGGAGGAGGTTTCTGTTGTTCACATTGTTTTTAAATTTGTTCGATCTTTCCCGTGGATATATTCATCTGGTTATATAAGTCAACATTCATTTGAAGATAGATGCTCTCATCTTGAACGTCGAGACAACAACCACAGCCCAGTAAGGATGACGGCCTTCACCTGTCTGAAAAGTATTAAAGAATTCTTTCACCCTGAATAAACCATGTGAAATACCCAGCCAGATTCAGCCTGAAGCATTGTGTTTTCCCAATAATCCCTCAAGGCAAATCAGCCGACAATAGCTTGAGTTAACTCACTACGCAGAAATAACAAGAGGTATTAATTTAATGGGTACTTACGGGCGATGATTTAACTGAATGGAGTGCAGTCAATAATCCTCTAAGCGGTATTGTCCTTCGTCTAAGATGTCAGCACCATCCTGAAGAAACAGAAATAAAATAATTAATTAAATCACCAATGCGATGAAGCATGACCCTACAGAAATTTGTGTATGTGACAAATATACATCTGGTCGAATTAGGTTGAAGTTCTTTTTTGTCACCAATAACGTAAGACTTACATAGTTACATCTCTTCTCTGATGTTGTTCTTCAAGTAAACTTCAAACTCTTTATGGATTCTTTCTCCTCTCCTAATGTTTCTTTAAAACAAAGCAAGAAAATATTTATAAAAAAGAAAGTAGACAACTGATGATGTCATATACAAACTGTTTGAAAAAATTATCGAACTCTTTCCTTGCTTCTGCAAACAAAATTGTAGAGAGTTCTGGTGGGTTGTCTGGTGCATTTTGAAACAGAATTTTCTGTCTGGGAACTGCACTTTTCCTGCCTCGACAAGCGACAAAGACTCCTAGAAAACCTCCATAATGTTTGAGCATTCAGCTCGAAATACTGATGATAGCAAACAGCAAACCATGAATTTTTAAACTTTTTCTTACCTCATCAAGGTTTTTTTTCAAAGTTGTAATATTCTTGTCATCATTCGCGTTTAAGTCTATCGGTACTTGATTTTGAAGATCATACTGTATTTTTCCTTGAATTCCAGCTTTCAAGTATATTTTGCTTCGATTTTCTGCGTTAGTTATTCATTAACATATCTCGGATGTCAAAGGTGTCAAACTTCAATCTTAATGTGTTGCAAGTATCTGTATTCTCTGTTTTAGAATCATGTCTTTGTAGCTTTGGAGGTTTTTGTTGTTCACATCGTTTTTAAATTTGTTCGTTCTTTCCCGTGGATATATTCATCTTGTTATATAAGTCAACATTCATTTGAAGATAGATGCTCTCATCTTGAACGTCGAGACAACAACCACAGCCCAGTAAGGATGACAGCCTTCACCTGTCTGAAAAGTATTAAAGAATTATTTCACCCTGAAAAAACCGCGTGAAATACCCAGCCAGATTCAGCCTGAAGCATTGTGTTTTCCCGATAATCCCTCAAGGCAAATCAGGCCACAATAGCTTGAGTTAACTCACTACGCAGAAATAACAAGAGGTATTAATTTAATGGGTACTTACGGGTGATGATTTAACTGAATGGAGTGCAGTCAATAATCCTCTAAGCGGCATTGTCCTTTGTCTAAGCTGTCAGCACCATCCTGAAGAAACGGAAATAAAATAATTAATTAAATCACCAATGCGATGAAGCATGACCCTACAGAAATTTGTGTATGTGACAAATATACATCTGGTCGAATCAGGTTGAAGTTCATTTTTGTCGCCAATAATGTACGACTCTCTCTGATGTTGTTCTTCAGTAAACTTTAAACTGTTTATGGAGACCTTTCTATTGTTTCTTTTAAACCAAGGAAGAAAATATTGATAGAGTCATTTCTCCAGAAATAAAGTGCTTTCAACTTGCAGATAGTGATAAATGTTGTCCAAGTTGAATAGTTTAATGATAACTCACCTCTAATTCAGAAAGTTGCAGGTTGCACACCAGCGCCATTGACATGTACTATCCAGACATTTTCTAGTACAAGAAATATAATTGAAGTAGAGTTGTGTTTTCCAACAGTTTGTATATGACATTTCATCTAGTTTCTCTCTTTTGACACACCATCCTAAAGAAATGGAAGTAAAATAATTAATTAAAAACACCAAGGTAATGGAATGTTGGATTTCACCTGTGAGATTCAGCCTGCGTGGCAGGCGGTTTTTAGGGAGGCGAAGGAATTCCTTTGCCTTCCTAATTTTCGCTGTCAGTAGAAGAATCGCCTGCCATGCAGGCTAAGGCAGATTAAACATGAAGCATTGTCTTTCAAGATAATTAATTTTATGATCCTCAAGCTGAATCAGCAGACCATGGCATCTGACAACTATCAAAAAGTTTTGGTTACCTTTTTTCGTTATTTGATCCAGTTCTCGCGGTATTCTGATGTAACTTTCTCTGTTGACATGTCTTGTTGCAGAGACCAGCTACACTCTTTATTTTCCAATATTTTTCCTACTAAAGTTCAGCATCTTTTATGCAGAACAACTCTTCAATGTTCTTAGATTGAAATCATCTAACTCAACGATATTGTCCTGGGACTCTGCTTGTTGCCGAGACCAGGTACACTCTTCTTTTTGTTATTTTCCAATTTTTTCTCCATTTTTCCCGCTGACGTTCAGCGTCTTTTACGCACAACAACTTAACATTTACGCACATTCACACAACATATGTACATCTATTTACACAGTTCCTTGATTCAATCTCAGACAAAGCTGTATATTTTTTTCAACAAGTTGCGGTGTTATTGTGGTCAGCTCAGTTTCTTTTTCGCCTAAACAAAACGAGTATTCATTAATAATAATGATTTAATATGGCATATCCATTTACGTGGCTCTTCATCCGACTTACTATGACTTACTATTAAATTACAAAATGACTTACTATTAAAATACAAACTATTTACATCTATGTCACTATACAATGGAGTATTTGAAAATCTCCAAACAGTTAAAATAATCAGTCTAACAGTTAGCTAGCTGTCAGCATTAGCAAGCCGCTGTGTCAGGTTTTTCATTCTTCCCTACACAAATTGAGTAATCCTTAAATGGCCTTTTGTTAGCAATAGTTAGTACCAGTGACTGACTGATTGAAATTACCAATTATTCATGGAACGCTCCGCTCTTTATTTTAACATATTGTGTGTTAAAACACAATGTGTATCAATGAAATGCATATAATTTTTTAAGTGGGTATTTTCTCAACCGGTTTAGACAATCGGAAATATAGATAATTCTACAGATTCAGATTTTCTACCGATAAGGCAAAAACTGGTGCCGATAATTAGTCAACCACTAGTTAGTATACATACAAGTTCTATCTCCAACAGGCAAATTCTACTGGGAGGTGCAGTCCTCTGGGTCGACGTCCTCAGTGTTGGTGTCTATGAACGAGAAAAGCAAGGTTTAAGTGTTAGTAAAGAATTTTAAATGCCGAAATTATATGAAATTAAAAACTTGTGTACCGGAATGGTCTTCAGTGGAAGCTGTCGACTCAGGGACCGCAGAGGCTTCGGAATCTACCAACCAATCACATTCTGAAACTGTTCAATAATTTAACAAAAAAATAGAACAAAATTTTCGTTTCATTGTTCACTGGCTTTATAGGCAATTCCAGTTTATGCGTGATGGGAAGTAAGGTAACATATTGTTGATTATGCTGAAAAATAAAAATGGTGGCCTTGTAAAAACGGAGCGATACTTGTAAATATTGAAATATTCCAGTTGCTCCAATCGTCAGTATTTATTGAAAGTTTTCAGCATAATCAGCAATACGATACCTTACTTCCTGTCACCCCCTGCACACATAAATTCAAAGCTGGAAATTCCTATTCAACTACATAGCTCGTAATTCTTTCATATAATAAACTGTCTTCTGTTTAAATTTTCAAGCAGCATCAAAATAGCACAAGTCCTATTTGAAGTCTATGAAAAACTCAGGAGAGCTTGCATATTTTACAAAAGATAGCTCAACTATTACTTTGCTGTACGTAACATGGCCGCCACGCTTGTTTTGTTTTGAAGCAATGGGTGCAGTTGACAACTGCTTTAAGTTGATTTGCACTGCTGTTTGAGATAAACTGCACTGAAATTAACCAAACACAGTCAAATAACATTTTTATGTGTATTGTTAGAGTTTATAAACCGCTAAAGTAGCCATATTTATACATTGCAAGTACCTGAAACTCTACCAGATGGAGTTCTCAGTCCAGGATCCAAATATGATTGGCCCAACTGGAAGCCCTAAAAACAGAATTATTATACCAAATATAAGCCCTGGGCTTATATTGGTTTGCAAGCACTTTTGGTGGAGTTACACATGGAGTGGCTTATATGTGAAGGAGTGGCTTATATGGGGGGCTTATATATAGTGGAGGGGCTTTTATATGGTGGAGGGCTTATATACGGACAACATGTGATGTTGATAACAATATTTATTATAGTTGTAAAGTGTACTGTGAACAAAAGGAAATATAAACATACAGTATTAACACATATTATAGCACGTCTGACTCTGTTTTGTACTCTGAAAATTGCCACTTCTGGGAATTGCATTTTGCTTGGTTGAATTTCAAACCATTCGCTCTGACCTAAGTGTTGATGTTGTCAAAATCGTTTTGAAGACCAATGGTATGTGCAAAGTTGTTAACCAGCTTTATTTAGAACCTTGGTTTCATCAGCGAAACAAGTCACCTTTGATGTTTTTACTGTCCATTCACATACAGAAAAAACTGGACAAGGATAGAGCCTTGCGGAACTCCAGATGTTAGAATCAAGTTCTTTAACCATGCACATGCAACAGTCACACCTTTTCCATATTTTATGTTTACTTTTCCTCGTTTTGAGTACCGTATTTTGAAAGACTTTTAACTAAAGAACTAAGCTTGTCTATTGCAACTTTGCAGGGCAATAATAAAATCTGTTTTCCCTGTGGGCAATATGGGAGAATCCCATCTCGTCAGCAGCCAATCAAATACATGTTTGCCATATATAAATAAAAATGAATACTTACCAGAAGTAGCACTCTACGTTTCCCGGGAGAAGCCGTCCTTGTTTCCAGGAGACGCTTACTTCTGGGAGTCAAAGGCTAAAATATGAATAAATAATTAGTCAATTATTGTATATTTACATTATTTTATTATTATTCTAAATGTCGGCTGCGATATTTGAATACAACTAGATCTTTCTCATACAGGGAACATGTATATAAAAAAATTAAAAATAAAAATATTTTAAAAACCACAAGCTTATTTGTTGGTATATTGTTATATATCCATTTAATTTGCATATAGTAATAACCGAGTATTCCCATACAACACATATCAATACAAATACATGGCAATCACGCTAGTCTATGTTGATTACAATATGAAGTTGTTGATATTTTGCTTGTATTTTTTTTATTGTAACAAAACACTCTATATTTTCCTTACTTACCGCAGTGGCAATCTCGAAGTCCGGCAACACTGGTCTAGGAGGAGTGGGGTCAACCGGCCTTCTGGAAAAGCGATCTAAATAAAAACGTCCATCGGCAGTTATTTACATGGTTTTGTTCCAATATTTCAATTATTTACATGGTTTTGTTCCAATATTTCTAAACTATCATGTATCAAAAATATAACTTGTCGTCCTTTTTACAGTCTTCATCTGTTCATTCTTTTTTGTACACACAATGAATAATCATACTGCAATGAAAATATACCTGCGACAAGGGCCACGACTTCCTTTTCAACATGTCTCAGACAGCCCAAGTCTTCTCTGGAAACATTGGACCCCTGGACTGGATTGTATCGGTCTTCTGGTTCTTCTCCATCATCATCAATTTCTGTTTGTAAAATATTATCAATTAGCAATAATAGCTACTGTAGTTAATAAAATGAACCAGTATTTGAACTACAACCATGACAGAATCCATTTAGCTGACATAGGCTATCAATGACATGTACTATTCTGATCATACTGGCATCAAAAATGCTCTTTCCCTTCTAAAAACACTCGGACAGATAGTCAAGCTGCAGTTTGTTGATTTTTGATAATCACGTAAAACTTACCATAGTCAATCCAGTCCAGGAACAGCTGGTCCAATGCCGCACGCGGAATCTTAATTCCTTGGGCCGTCGTGATACACTTTGTTGTTTTACGACGCAGATCTGCCAATGTCGCGGAGCGGTCCTTGGCAAAGGCAATTGACCGCTGGATGTTGGCGGTTTCACCCAAAGCACAATGCACTTCCTACAATATTAAGAACAAAGACGCTAAAAATATATTTTCACATTCTCATTCATTTAAATAGTCAATGTAGCACCTAAAACATTCCGATATATTTGTATTTCAACAATGCAAGATACGTACGCTCCACGACACGTCCAGGTTCTCAAAGGCAGTTTTGCGGATGGCAAAACCTGGGACCCACTCATCCTCACTGCTCGGTGTGACACGGACAGATGGATTGATCCATGTCAAGGGTGCAACCTGCAAAAAGATTTTATCCTTAAGCTAAAATAAAAGGAAATTTCAACCAGTCCAGCATAATGTTGAAATTAATGCTACATGCATGTCAGCATGAAGCTACAAGGAATCTTACATCTTCCTCTCGTATGCGTACAAGTATTGAACGTTGCAGCCTTTTGAGCACCAAGGCAGTACTGCTTCGATTGCCACCAAGGGAATGAATGACATCAGCAATCCTTGGGGAAAGGTCGGCAGTGGCATCGATCTGGGAAAAAATGGACAAACTCAATAACAAAAAGTAGCGGAAGCTGGGGAACACCCTAGCTTGAGGGGTGCAAGGGAATGCTATTCAAAGCAAACAAATATTAAAGACAATTTGCATAATAACATGATAATAATAATCATTGACGGGTGGCACACACGACAGACACAACTCGGCACCAAAACTGGCAGAACACCCTACCAGATCATGCTGGATGCATCCCTGTGTGAGATTAGAACACCAGTAATGGAGTAACTGTGACATTTTTTATATTAAGAATGCAAAAACAAGGTTACAACCTGTGAATGCTAAAGTTTTGTGTTTAGAAAAATATTAACAAATAAAAAAGAAATCAATCATTCAGTTGCTTTTGACATTTGTTCTTCACAATCTATTGGACATTTTAAGTATATATATATATATACATTTCTCAAATTCATTAATAATTCACGAGTAATTCAGCCAATGATAATCATCTATTTGATCACAAGATGCCATTTGGATACTTGATGAAAGTCACTAGTGTTTTCATCAAATATCTTAATTACGCATGCAAAATTACTTGAATAGAATTCCTAATTATGTTATGCTTGGTTAAGAATTCTATTCAAATCAGCAAACGAAAACATTCTGTTACGTCTCGATTCATGTTTTCTCGTGTTTGGATATCCCGGTGAAACGCTCGCTCTTGTTGTTCATATATTACATACCATTGTATGAACAAGAAGGAGCTTTGCCATTGCTTCCCTCCACCGATTTTGATCTGGTGCCAAGGACTGCATTACGTTTTTCAGGATGCGTTGAATGGCCACGGCATGTCGAGCAACTTCGGGCCATATGGCCTTCATACGCATCCCCCACGCTACAATCAAACCCTACAATAAAATTAAACTGTAAGTCTATTTTTAATCGTCTTTATCTCAAGAGTGTTAGGTTTGCCAGTTTTGCGAGTAAAAACGTTAACCAATTCGACGATTCCTCAATTCATTGTCTATTCATCAATTTGATAAACATTCTCCATGCCATCCACAGTTATACATAGATTTCGCTTGGATGCAAAAAGCCTATATTATTGAGTTTAGAGTAGAGTGTTAAACATGCTCAACTGCTCAAGGCTTGGCAGTTATTTGATCACTTCAATCTACCTAAAGATATTGTCTTCTGCTTCGATTCCTTCTTTTTCATATAAAATCCCACTTTGCTTCAATATCTCTATGTACACCGAAAATACTTTTAAACATTTTTGTTCTTTATCTATTGTATCTCAGTAAAGAACAATTTATAGTACCTTATTGTCTTTGACGAAGTCCACTAATCGAGATTCATTTTCACTAGAACGGTTGGGATCTCTAGTGAAATCAAATCTCAAGATTCTTCCTTCCAGTCTGTAATACAAACAAAAGATAAAGGAGTGACAATTTATCTCACACATATACTGTACATGCAAGTAGTTAACCGAGCCTTTCCAAATACATTAAATGTAAATTATAACTTATTTTTATACATATATATTTATCCATGATGGATACTCACGTGATTTATTTGTTTATTAACTTAACAATTGCACGATTGGTGAAAAAGACAACAGAACTATTTGTTATTTATTACTTCCCACCAAACGATTTACAAAATACACTAAACATATAACAATTAATTTATAAAATTACAATCACAATATAACATTAACTATATGACTATACATTCTTATACATATTTATGAACAACACTTTGTTTCCTGTATATCTCATACATACAATATTAACAAATGCAAAAAAACCAATTAACTAAAAAAAAAATTAACTAGGGTTAAATTAACATTACAAGTGTTTATTATCATGATCATTAATATTTATTAATAAAAATATATTAAAAAACAAATTTTGTTGGCCTTTTGTTTAAACTAAGTACAACATTGCATGAGATGCAGTAGACAAGGTGCATGTGGATGAAATGCTCGACATGCTATTGAAATTTTGGGGTCAAAATGGTCGAAGATGGGTACCCAATGTGGTAGCGAGCTAATTGAACTGGGGTTTCACAGATATTTCTGCTGTGTCTTAGAGACAAAGTGGTTATCAGAGTATATGGATTGGAAATTAAGACATCTCTACATTAATGGAAATTGCCAAAAAGATTAGCTTATTAAGTTAGTCCATGTAGTGACATGCAGCCATATTTAGATCTATATAAGGGTAACAATTGATACAATAATTTAAAATACCTGTCAGATTCCTTGGTGGTACCAGTGAACATAATGGTACCCTTGGGCGTATGGACGCCACTTTTTAATGATCCCTGAGTTAAGCCACCTTGAAATAGAAATTATTATAAGTTTTATATCGTTTTATAATTTTTGCACAAGTGAACATAACAAATCTTACAAATTGATTGGTCAAATTTGACGTATTAAGCTGTTATATTCACCTATAGGTGAATATAACAAAACCGGAAATTATCGATTATGGCAGATAGCCGTTGTGTAGCCATTATACTGATAAAGAAATAAGGATAAATTCAGTCCCAAAAAGCACATAAATACTAAAACAATTATTTGCCTCAGGTTCGGTGATTATCGGTGAATATTTACCTCAACTTGTCTCAGCAAATATTCTGCCATAATCAATCATCTCTCCTTTGGTGAATAATTGTTAAATATTTATAGTTTCTCGCTGGCTGAAGTATGAAAGAAGCAAGAAACGGGTTCTCACACTGGGGGGCCCCGGGCGAGGTGTGATGCCCTTATATGGGCATGCGCCTTGAGATAGAGCATGTTTTGTCTTTTGCCGCAAGTGAGGTAGTTCCCACCCGCCCACCCTTGTGGTTCGAGACATTGTTTAGGGTTATTAATATTGGGTCTATATGTTAATTTTGTGTATGAAAACAATTGTTAATAAATAAAGGCACTGCTACTTTTGCGGTGGCAGACTACACGGCAACCCAGTGTGAGAATGTTATATTCTTGTTTATTATCATTATCACTATTATCATTTGGAAATATAATAATCATTTTTTGAATACATTTAATTCAACATTTTTAGGCCACAACTATCAAGAAGAATTGTTTTTATGCTTACACTGTTTGTATCAACCTACAGATTCTTACTTTGTATTCATGAGCTTCTCAGACTTCTTAGGAAGGGAACCCTCAGCTTGGTTAGTTTCTACTAAATCACTTTTAAGGGTACCTACCTTGTAGTTGGTACAAATACTCGGAGAAGGAGGCTGTCATCTTAGGATCATCAAACAGCGACACCAAGGTTGTGCTTGACACTGCCCGAATCATCGACTGCCTGGAACAAATAGTTTTTTAAAAAATTAGATTTAATTTTTTGCCATTTATGTACCAGAAGTTAGTTACGACTTGTGGAACAAAACTTACCGCAACGTTGTCTCATTGCCGCCAGCAAAGATGATTGGGTGCGGTACGGTTGCTCCCTGAAGGTATGCAAAAAGCTGTAGAGATAACGACTTTCCGCAATTCCTGGCTTCAGAGTAAAGCATGGCAATGTTGCTCTCCCCTAAATAATGACAAATACATTTAAACATCATACACACATGCATACACACATGTTGGTAAGATGACTCGAATAACAATACCTGGCAATAACACATTTAGGTAAATTAGACCATTTGGAAATAGCCTATACTATTAGTATATAAATAAAAATACGAACAAAAGCACCAAATTTTGGTTGAAAGTCTGGCAGCTGGGCTTTGGTGAGAGAATATTGACATCGAGAAGTATCCAATTTTGTTATGCCAATAATAAACAAGCGATGTTGCTGGGATTTGGGATTAACTAACCTATCTACCCATGTGTCTAGTTAACCCATTGAGTGGCAATGCACCCTGATACACCCTACTTTAGTATTTTACTATGTCTAACGCCAGATGATTTTACTCGTCAAGGGAAGAGCGCTTAATGGGTTAATAGTACTTGTGATGTCCAATTGGACTTCATGCACATCCAAGTATGGCAAAATTTCCAAACATCACTTGTACTGATCGCCATCATGTGATTACCTATACAAATAAACTTACTCCAAGCTTCCTGTCTTTCACTAGCCCGAAGAATCCTGGACGCCACAAAGGCCAAGGCCAGCTTAAAACTTTGTGTGTTGACGCCAAAGCATTCCGCGTGTCTCATCAAGCTATATGAATAAATATCACAAAATTATTCAACAGATACTTTTTAGATAACATGGCTTAATGTTATATTATCACCTGGTCATGGCATCCTTCATGATCAAGGGGTCCAGCAGTTCTTGGTTCATGGTGGTGGAAAAAGCTTGGAGGTCATTTTCGCCCTGAAACACTCTGAACGCCTCCTCAGGGAGAGCTGCATTGTTCTCAATGTGCAGCTATAATAAAAAAATAACAATTCACATAAGCAAGAATGGCATATACTATATATGTTGCAAACATATGTATACAATAATAAGAGTGAGGACTGTGCAAGAACATATCAAACAGGTATAGAGGTAATCAACACAGCAAGATTTGCCAATTTAACACATGCTTGCCATATAGTAATTTACTTTTAAATACAATCTTAATCATTACAAATGAAATATGGTCATCTGAAGCTGACAAAAATGTCAACATAGATTTTGTCTCCTCATCAGCAGATTGTTCAGTTGTTTTGCAATAGGGGTAGTCTTGAATGTGCCATTAAAACAATAATCGCGTCGTATTGATGCGCAATTTAATTTCGCGCACCTTGTTCATATGCGCGCAGCTTTAAATTCGAGCAAGAAATTTTCCGTGTTCGTTCTTTTTGGTTTGTTCAATAGAACTATTAACAATTAATGTATTTATAACGAGTACTTTTTATCAAAACTTAATAAAAAAACGATTAGGTGGCCTCAAGAATCATTTCAAAATTATGTAATAAAACTAAAACATTTATTGTATGGTTCTCATTTGCCTAATGCAATAATAATCTCTTTTATTAGCATTCCCATATATTCTCATGTATAAAACTATGGCCCACAAGTGCAACACTCAAATATATTTCAAACGCACAAATATATCTCAAAACACACAAATATATTTAGCTAGAGTTCAAATGGATCCTCTTTTCGTTGTGGCTCTTCCAATGTGGCGCTCACACATGATCATTGCCAACCTTTGGCGACAATATTTGAGGATCTGTGGCAAAATGCAGGCATTCGTTATGGAATGCTATGTGGAACCCGAGAATATCCAGACTGAAATTGTCTGGGAGGAAGACATTTTTATTTTTAATATTGACAGGACAACTTAGAACATATGATATGTCAAATGTGTAGATGTGCGTTAAATCAGGTTACACAAATCAACTGATTTGCATTACTAACAACCGGTGTCTCATTACATCACAAAACTTTTCACACAGATTATATTTCGCACATTACTAAAACTCGCGCAACGCAGCGCTGTGCGAATTTTAGTACTGCGCAAATTTTAATACAAGTAAGGTATATGAAATTGTAGCAACAAGTCATGTTATGCAAGCTTTTAATGATTTGCATTATTCAAATAGTGCAGGTTTATTAGCATAGCATGACCAGTTGCCATGGCTCGCTTGCTACTGAATACTGTACAATGTCATATTGCCATATATATCAACAATGATAATATTTGAATGAATCATTGGACATGCAGAGTTTACTTTAATAATGGCTAGCTTCACCATTAACAGTATAATTATACATACAAAAGCAAGAAGTTATAAAGGAAGGCCCTTTCGCTCGAAATGTTGAGTTCCTGCTTATTTTTTAAGGTAGTAATATAACCACTCAGCACAGCATTTTCACTTTGGTACTACCTACACTGGTACAGACAGTTTCAGTATAAAGCATTGAAGGGATTCAAGGATTAAAATATTTAGCTGACCTTAGACTTTGTGCAAGGTGTTTGATATTCAAATTGCACTTTTCAGTCTTTTCCTGCATCCTGAACAGACATATTAGCAATCTCGTACCCAGAGTATGCCCGTTCGCAAGTTAGGTCATGCAACGTTAGGTCATGAAAGTTAGGTCAGCAACTAACCTGTGAATGGGCATACTCTGCTGGGCTGTTTACATGATGGAAGATGGGATGATTTTGGTGTATTTAAACAAGTCACTAGACTAAACAAAATTTCAAATGCTGGCTAACCGAACTCAAATGTTGTAGAGAAGATCATGTATTTCAAGATTTTTTATAGCTTTTTGAACAACCTTTCGTTTACAGTTAACTATAATCCATCTCTAGAAAATAAAGTTTTCCACAAAATCATCTCGCCTAATATGTCGTCCTGGCAAAGCGGTGCTGGAACCGTATCAACATGCCTTATTCAGCAAATTGTGTTTACTCTCTTTCCTTTGATGGCAGCACTTTCCTTGTGATAGTAACTTTTAGTTTTAGCATGTCATATATTATTTTTAGGCCAAAAATTTCCAACAAGAATTTAAACAATATTACCTCTTCTCCAAGATACCAATAATTGCTGTTTGGAATATTCTGGTATCCCAGATGTTCAGCGATGTATCCGATGCGCCGAGAACCAGGGTACACCTGGCGGTACTCTTTAACGAGACACTGCCGGAGGCAATTTACATCCTGGCTGGTAGCCACTGGATCAAGGTACATCGCTCCATCGCGGAACTTCGACCGTACTGCGTGCAACAGCGAGGCAGACGTATCAAAGTCACCAGCTTTCAGGAGGATCCATCTAAAATGAAAAATTAGTGCAATTTTACATAAAGCTACTTTGTGAATAGCTTTGATGTTTATATCAAATTTGTTCAAGCATCTTGCATATTAATTATAAACTCAATCTTCTCACTTGCATTTTAACTTGTGCAAAAGCACAAACAGATGTGACAAGTGCAGGGCTTGTAATCTTTTCACCAAATCATATTACAAGTGGGAAAAGTGCAAATTTTTTTGGGCAGCCTAATTCAGGAAGGAATGACAACCTAATTGACAATGCATTGCCAAGTGCAAGCAATGGAATTCTAGTCTTGCACAAGTGAACATAACAAATCCTACAAGTTGATTGGTCAAATTTGACGTATGAAGCTGTTATATATAACAAAACCAAAATTTTCAAAATGGTGGCTATATAGCCATTTTGTGGAAGAATATACTGATAAAGGAATAAGCGAAATTAAAATAAATTCAGTCCCACAAAAACAAAAATACTAAAACAATTATTTACCTCAGGCCCGGTGATTATTGGGGATATATTCACCTCAAATTTGTTTCAGCAAATATTCCCTGATATTAATCACCTGATCGCCCTTGGCGAATATTTAACAATTATTCGCCGAAGGCAAAGCGATTATGGGTGAATAAAAACCAAGACAAAGTTGAGGTTTTTATTCACGATAATCACCGAGCCGAAGTGAATAATTGTTTTAGGATAATTTCATAGGTGATTATTTGGAATAAAATAAGAAAATACACATTTCTTCATCGTTTAATTGACAAAAAGGCTTCGGCTGCCATTTTGAAAATCCTTAGGTGATTATCGCGTAATAATCACCTCAACGGCAACCAATCAGCGTGCAGAATATTCAATAATCACCTACGTAATTATACTAAAAATTGTTAAATGTATAAACAAATATACTAATACTTGAATGAATCATTGGACATGTAGAATTTAATAACAATTTCATATACAGGAATACTTAGTCAGTTTTTGTCCCAATTATGGTTTTAATGGCATTTTCAAAGCTACTCCTATTGCATAGAACCAATGAACAATCTGTTGATGAGGAAACAAAATCTATTTGTTGACCTTTTTGTATAATACGTCAGCTTTGGATGACACCATTAGGGAGGGCGGGGATACACCCGACCCTAGAGAGGGCGGGGATACACAGGGAATTGACCTGATTTCCCTGCTTCTGGGTCGGGGATTTTATTTTATTTGACATCAAGGATGCTCCCAGGGTGGGGCATTTTGACATTCTTGTTACCAATCTCCTATTAATTTCGCAAGTGAGGCCGACATCATGGCGTGTTTCAGTAAAGTTGCAAAGTGAATTCATGAATAATATCACTTTACTTGCGGCTTTTTAAATCTTGTTAAGTTTTGTCTTTTTAGTACATTACTTAATAGACTAGGAAATAAATAATAAGAAAGGAGAAAATAATGATTACAATTGAATCCAAGAGCAACGTGAACGACAATTTATAGCGTTCAGAATTTACAAATGCTATATTATACAAAATATAAATAAATTGTTTGAGCAGATTATAACATCTTTGTAGTTTTCTTCTAACTCAGGGGTGAGGGGCATTTGACTATGATTGACCACAAAGTGCTGCTTCACAGCAGGGCCTATTGACACAAAAATATTGAAAATGTCAAATGCCCCAGGGTTTGCCCTCCCTCCCTAGGGTCGGGCATAACATTGATTGGTGCATAATGACTAAGACTGTACACAATCAGAACTGCAAAACTATATAATAAGAAAGATAGTATACCCTGATATGTGGTGACACAGCTAGGTGAATATATTTCATATTATGTTAGCAATAAAACATTCATAGCCATAGGTGCTTTTAAAAGTTGACATACCCCTTCCTCTAAAGGATCTCCCACAAAACTTGAATATGACAAGGCCAGTATTTATAGAAAAAAATGTCTCTGTTTATATGCCACAAAGTTGCAGATCGAAATATTTTTAAACGCCATTCTTGGTGTCGCTCGCAGATCGCTGAACTGACGTCAAATTGCCGACAAAAAAAACACGCAAAAATCTCGAACGCTTTAAGTTATAAAACTGTTGGCGGGAACTAATTCAAATGCAATCATAAAATTTTTAAAATTTCCTGCGCGCAATTTTCAAACTTTCCAGTCAGGCATGTCACTGTAAAGGCTAGTTTTCACTCAGGAGAATTATCCGTGGATTGGAACGGACAAGAAAAATTTTTCTTTGTCTTTTGAGCTCTGGGTTGGAACTAATCATGACTTCAACACAAAGAAAAATTTTCTTGTCCGCTGAGTGGAAACTAGCCATTACTGTGACTGGATGTGAAACCTACTAGAAAAACAATACAAGTCATTATTTATTTTGTTTTAGGAAAGTTACCTATCCGTGACTTCAAGTGGTACAACCTGTATCTATGAGAAAATTAAGATGCAAAACAAGCCATTTTAGCAATATACCTTAATACAGTACATGCAGAAATTGCAAAGACGTCGATGTATAAAATATGTTGAGGACCAAAGGCCGCTCGAAGGGCAACATCGTTGCAAGAATGGCAGATTTGTCAATTGTGCTAGGCCTTTTCACTTCCCGTTGTTTTGTCATTAGCGTTAATAAAATCTGTTTCGACCGCCAAATTTTAAGCGTGTCATCTCGAGTCATTTTTGTACATATCATATCAAAGAATATTAAACAAATTTCAGCGTGTTAACCTATATAAAACAGCCCAGACTGTTTGTACTGACGTGAAGATGTGATATTGCAGCTGTAGTTCACTGTCCAGACCATTGTCAATGGCATTGTTTAAACCAACACGAGTGCGGAGTGCATTTTGCTGCAATATATATAACGCAATTTCGCCGACATGTACAGCGATGTTATTTTAATACTTTAAAAACCTTAAGCGTAAATCAATAAGCATTGACAAGCTTTTCATATTTCAGTTACTTTTTATTCTCGTTTGTACGGGATGCACGATTTGTCAAACATAGACTCGACAAAATCAGGAAAAATCGTGTGATATTTGTCTTTGCACGAGGCAAAACATAGATTTTGTGCCAGCATGGCGAAGTATTACGTTTTAATGACAAAAATAAAATGCTACTCGGCGCTTGTATAAAATATGTCTGTGGAAATTTCTTGTGCATGCCTTAATCTATAAAGGCCATGTCATATTGTCATACTCCTCTTAACTATCAAAACATACCTTCGCTTCCATTCTCCGAGTACATCTCCTTCGGCTTCGACGATCCATCTGCCTTCGCCGGTCCATCTGCGTTCGCCATCAGCGTCAGCAACAGCACACCTGCCTACAATTTTTAAATAACAATTTAAGACAGGTTTACTATCTATGCACAACCAGCCGCCCTGCCTCTTTAAATCTTGCATAGTGTCGATAGAACTTGCTCTCGAACTGCTTCGTCTGAACATGTGGAACAGGCCTGGGTGTGGACTCGACTTGCCTTTTAATAGTGCTATATGCCAGCTTGTGATTGGCTATTTTTCAGCCAATCATTTTGCTTCTGTATCAGCTGATAAGTCAACTTCGTTCCCAGGCTCTTTCCTCTTGTGGAAGAATGGCCCAGCACCTATAACCTGCGAACGGGCATACTCTGGGTACGAGATTGCCTGGGTTCTGGGTTCCGTAATGTCTAAAAGTAAAAGAGATGGAGGAGAGTTTACAAAATTGAAATAGTATGCAATATGGCGCCAAAATAACAATATGCACGAACAGCGGCGCGAACAGCAAGTGAAAGTTGACAAAAAGTTCCCAACGGCAATTGAACTATACCAAAAGGAAATCCCGAAACATGTAAGCGGAAATTCTTTGAAAGGCTCGAATATAAAAAAAGAAAAATCCATGCGGCAGGGGAAAAGGATGCGAGCGGGGACGAAAAACTACTTTTTTTTACTTGGCCTAAATGAAAAATGGCAAACATCGCAGGGTTATATTATCCGCATTTCACAACATTTCGCAACGAAACTTCGGAATATTACTAATTTTTTTACGTTCTTTCAAGCTGTGATGAATTTTTTGTCTAGGTCAAAATTTTGTTCATTAGAGGGAATAGGTCCATTGACGGGCATATTCGTGGACGGTTCTAATGCAAGAACAGTAAAAGTATGCAAGGTCATCTCAGCTGAAAATCAGCACCTTTAATCAGTTGAGTCTTTTCTAGTATATCAACATTATCGATCAATTTCAAATCGTCCCTACATGTAACATTTTGCATCAGATACTCTTTAAATTAAATGATCGTTAATGTGACCAAAATGTCAGCAATGAGGGAGTTCACCACTGGCACTAAGCTGTATAATAAGTGAATGTCCTCCAGTAATATAGTATAGCTCAGTCAGAGTAGATACATATACAGAGCTGTAACTGACAGTCGTAAACACTGCGGAAACTTACGTTTTCACGTACCCACTTTTTGTTCAGGCGACAGTGGCAAGAAATGATAAACTGCGCGTGCTCGGCATGTTCCATGTGCAGTTAAAGCGAGCCGCCATCCAATGGGATGCAAGCATTAGTAACTTGCTAGCATGCGCACAAGAAAGTGGGTACACTAGTTATAACTCTAATTAGTATCTATTCTGTGGCTCAGTGGAGTTCTCTCATAAGTCTATCGCTTTCATCGGTCGGCATGACAACATCTGCAACGGGCTGTTCCAGCCAATGACTATATGTATAGTTCAGTGGTTCCAGCTCATACTTTAAAGGTCAGTGGATCCACTGACCTCTAAAGTACGAGCTGGAATGTCCCGGAACGGTTCCAGTTACAAAAACCGATATATCTTAATCCTGAAAATCTCGTTCCATTAGAGAAATGTCAGAAATCTGAACCTATACTGAACTCACGATTCCAGGAATTTCCTTCCACTATTTAGTCGAACTATTTCGTCTGAACTTTTTACCTTTCTACTCGAAACTTGACTTTTACTCTGAACTGTATAATTAAAATAAAAAAGGTTTTGTGTGAATACATTTATGACACATTAAAGTCATCTAAATAATAATTTTCTCGCTTATTAATTAACAATTTTAATATTCAATACCTTTGTTACCTTAAAGATATTTGTATGTTGCAAATTAAGCCGCATATAGAAAATACAAACAGACAAGTAAAACAAATTTATTAATACAACATGATAGGCCACCGTCCTCTTGCCTGACCACACAATAACCGAGCTAGGAAACCACTAAAAATAGGAAGATACAACAAATCAACACACAGATTGACACACCCATAGTGTCAAAACAAACCAAACAATAATGTGGGATGATATTCGATCCCTGCCTGTTGACTCGATACGTCAATAGGTATAGAGCAAATTCTGCTCGAGACAACAAGTGTTTCGTTGTACTATGCCACAGAGTGATGTTAAGATTAAGGTGTACAGGTATATATGTACCCCAAAAACCGAGATACCCCGAAAACCTGATTTATAGTCATTAAGTAGAAGTTAACATGGCGGTTGACTAATGATGTAAGAAACGCTTGAAAGAATTTTTTCGCACTGTTTACCAAAATGTGTGATCAGAAACATTACAAAACGGACAAATTGGTAGCTTGTATAATCGGAAACTTTAAGACTAAGTTTGCAAAATATTATTGTTATAAACGTTTTGGAGTTTGTTTAGTCGAAAAACCTTGAATAATGTTACAACATTATACCGCAACAAAGTTACATGCGTTTTTGCGCATGTGGGTTTTGGGCTACTTAGAGTTAAAAACACGCAATTTCTCCAGGTCATATCTTTTACAATAATGACAAGATATAAATGAGAACTGTCAGGATGAACTCACTTTAGGCAAGTTTACTTGAATACGAAAGCATTTATAAATTGAGTATATTTAAAAGAATTATAGCGATATGCTTTTTGTGTGGTTTTTGGGGTACATATACCTGTATGTGTAAATATCAGGATATCGAGTATGTTTATCCAGGAGCAGTTGCAAAAAGTGCAACTATATAGGCTCTCTGGCAGGAATGGAACCTCAGTGGCTCATGACCTTGACGAAATCATCTACAAAAAACCTTCAACACTTATAGTTCTATCGATCCTGATAACAAGATTCGTTTCATGTTTCAAATTTTGTTTTAATACTTAGCCATCAAGACAAACGGGAAAATCGTTTTGGTTCCAGACCATAGAATCCCAGTTGGTGTTGAGAGGAATGAAAGATGCACGATGTCAACCAAACTGTCAGATGCTCAACCTCGCAAGCCAGGGTTAAACCGTCAGAGGCTTGCAAGGTTGTCAGATGCTCAGTGTGTATCACTGCATATATATTGTAAATATTTAATAATTTTAGCTATTATTAAATTTGTGATTTGTACACTCAGATATGTTGCTTCTTTTATTTATTTTTTATTCCACTGATTAGATCTATGATCTGAGACCAAGTTGAACAAAGCCGGTGTACCTTCCAAGGTGTGTATTTGCAAGCTGTGTAGCAAGCGAAAAGGTGTGTTATTTTGGACACCTTGCAAGGTGTGTAAAAAGGCAAAATACACACTAAATTAACGTGTGTAACAGAAGATATATTATAATACACATATTTTATTTATTTTTATACACACTGATATTTTTTATTATTTTTTACGGTGTTCATATTGTACCTTCACAATAGAATCGGGTCAACGGTTAGGCGAAACTAAAAAAAAAATTATATATATATATATATAAATCTGCAGGTCAATAGGGAGCGGGAACTTTTTGGATTTGAACTCAGCATGTTCGAAAGATGTTGACGAATTCATTTCCTAACTTGAAGGAACACCTCTGAACAATAGACCTTATGCATAATGACGTCACAAGGTCTGAAGCCCGCGAGGAATGCTGGTCTTAGTAGTCATCGCCCGGGAAAATTTCGATAGTGGCCATTTTGAATTGTTTAATTTGCCCGGGCGATGACTACTAAGACCAGCATTCCTCGCGGGCATCAAGTTTTGTGACGTCATTATGCGTAAGGTCTATTTGATAAGTTCCTTAAGTTCCTAACTTCCTGTTTCATTGACTAATCAAATTTTATATATTATTTTTGAACAATCTGATTGGTCAATGAAACAAGAAGCACAGAATAAAGATCAGTAACAGAAGGGCCACTCAGCGGTGCATCGTGTCTGCGTTTTTTTATGCAAAAATATGCAGTTTACTGGCCAGAAGGTGGAGCCAACATGCGTAATGCGACATGCACGAGGACAGAAACTTCAAAGTGTCCGACGTAAGTGGCCCTTCTATATGGATCTTTATTCTATGACAAGAAGTTAGGAACTTTTTAAGGAACTTATCAAATTGTTGAGGAATTGTTCTGGGGCCGGTTGTATAAAAAAGTGATTAAAGTTAACTATAGTTAGTGGAAACGTCATCCAATAAGACGCGCGTATTTGAGAGTTAATCACTATTTAACTACAAAATAGTGATTAAAAAAGTGATTAAGAGTTTTATACAACCGGCCCCAGAGGTGTTCCTTTAAGTTAGGAAATGAATTGGTCAACATTTCTCGGAACGCTTCTATTGGCACGACTGTAGTTCCCGCAAAAATATTTCAGTTTCAAACCAATGGGAAATGAAAATCGTTTTCTAGGCACTTTTCGAGGTCACAGCAAACTGCCTAAGAAAGTACAAACTGTGTTTAAAAAGTGTTTCAAACACTCATTAATAATTCATAAGCTTATTGGCAAATCATGTCAACCATATAATATATATGTCACGTGCAGTGGCTTTAAACCTGATAAAAGACTCCCAATTAGTATTCTTTATATAAAGAATACTAATAAGGCAGTATATCTATTGAATTTGTAGTCGTGTTTGAAGCCGTTTAATAAACTCGCAGGTCGTGTTTTATTAGGTCTAAAGCCACTCGCGCTGCGCGCTCGTGGCTTTAAACCTAATAAAACACTCCTGCTCGTTACTGATGATCTAACTTGAACTATATAAACAGGTGTTTATTGAATAATTGCGGGAACCACTGAGTATTTTCATAAAATACAATACAACGGTAACTCCGAATAAAGTAAGCATTTTGATTCAACGTTTCGATTTTATCTAGACATCATCGGGAATGATTATATTACATGTGCATGCGTAATATATACTCTATAAACGTAATTTGATATATAATTAAAAGAAAAATTTGTTTATTTAATTGGGATTATTTGTTTAATTGGGATACTACCACAACAGGCTGCTTTGATTCGTGCAAAGATAAAACACCTAAGGAGTTTCAAACATAAATTTTCATGTCCTGGGTGCGGCAAAACATACATAGGAAAGACAGACAGATGCCTCCACACAAGACTGAACGAACATGCAACCACAGACAAAAACTCAGAGATTTATAAACACATTAACACTTGCGAACAACTATCTGACAAATCTATTACAACTTAACATAGACGAACCCAACATTGACCAATTTAAC